GTCCTGACAATAAACTGCTTCCGAAGCGGATCATCCTCGTACGGCACGGTGAATCGGAAGGGAATCTCGACACGACGGCGTATACAACGACGCCGGATCATAAGATCCAGTTAACGGATTCCGGTTTGCTTCAGGCGCAGGAAGCCGGAGCTCGTCTCCACGCTTTGATCTCTTCAAATCCTTCTTCACCGGAGTGGCGTGTGTACTTCTACGTTTCGCCGTACGATCGGACTCGATCTACGCTCCGGGAGATCGGACGGTCGTTCTCGCGTCGCCGTGTGATTGGTGTTCGCGAAGAATGTCGAATTAGGGAACAGGATTTTGGGAATTTCCAGGTTAAAGAGCGAATGAGAGCAACGAAGAAGGTGAGAGAGAGGTTTGGCCGCTTTTTCTACCGGTTCCCGGAGGGAGAATCCGCCGCCGACGTCTTCGATCGCGTCTCCAGTATGTTTCACTTCCTTGCTTATTCGAAATTTTTCTCACTTTACTCGCATTGTTGATTGTCTACATATCTCGTTATCTATATGTATATTGACTGATCTGAGATGATAATTTAGTTTAGCTAAGCATGATTTTAGATCATTCTCGATGATCCTGGCCTGTACAAGTAGCAAAAAGTTGAGGACTTTTTGGTTAAGTAGCAGAACAATGACATTAAACCAAATGCATCTGTTAAGAGGAATTGGTTGATATCTGACCTTAGAACCCTTGAATCGATTTCATTTGATGCCATTCATGCTTGATTTCAGGTTATGCTCACATTCACTGTTATGAAGATTCTATTAAAACCTGAGTTTTCGCTGGATCCAGCAAATCGCTGAAATGCGTTTTACTAGCTGTGGTCTTGAATAGAAAAGGAAAAGGTTTTTCTCAGAATCAGAAGAAAGTCTAATATTTACTTTCCATCAATCTCTTTTGAAATGTCACCAAAATGGAAAAATTTAGCTAGTCCTGGCATGTGATTGTTTCATCGTTGTTGTTTTGTCTTTTCTCTTTGCTTTGTTTTCTTCCATCAATCTCTGTGTGAGTAAACAAGAAGAAATTAAGACATGATGTGGTCTGTTTGCGTGTTGCTATACAGGTTTTCTCGAGTCTCTATGGAGAGACATCGACATGAACAGACTACACATCAACCCGTCTCATGAGCTAAACTTTGTGATTGTCTCACACGGCTTAACATCGCGTGTGTTTCTGATGAAATGGTTCAAGTGGACCGTGGAACAGTTTGAAGGACTAAACAATCCAGGGAACAGTGAGATTAGAGTAATGGAATTAGGACAAGGCGGTGATTACAGCTTGGCGATTCATCACACAGAGGAAGAGTTAGCCACATGGGGACTGTCACCAGAGATGATTGCAGATCAAAAGTGGCGGGTTAACGCGCATAAAGGCGAATGGAAAGAAGATTGTAAGTGGTATTTTGGTGATTTCTTCGATCATATGGCAGATTCGGATAGAGAGTATGAGACTGAGGCCAATGAAGAAAAAGAAGAAGAAGAAGAAGAAGAAGAAGAAGAAGAGGGAAAAAGGGTAAATCTGCTAACGAGTTCAGAATATAGCAATGAGCCAGAGTTATACAATGGAAAATGCTGCTGATAATTTTTTACAGAACAAAAGCATACATGAGAAGAAAAGTTTAACTAAAGAAATTCAGAAAAATGTGATTTTGATAATAACTTGTACCGTTTACTTATGAAGCTTTCTGGTTTCTTAGTTTGTGTAGCTTTTGGTTTGTGGAGAAGTGTTGTACACATTGTTATAACACCAAAAACATTACAGGAAATTTGAAAGATTCATTTTACTGTGCCAAAGCATTTATCTTTTTGAAAGAAAGTTAGAAAAATGTAACAGTTTAAGTTTATGGAAATTATTCATATACTCATAAATAAACCATTTAACATACAACTAAATAGATATATGTAATCAATAAAGAAAATGATAATGTAACTTTCTTTGTTACATTGCTAAAGATTCAAAGATGACGCCGTCTCAGAGTATTTACCGGTGAGAATGTGTAGCGCAACATACCGATTTGCAGCTTCGGTGTAATGAATGCCGTCCCAGTTAACATATTTGGAACTATCATAACAAGGTTTGGCGGTTTTGATCGTACCGTTTGATCTTGCTGTCTTACCGCAACCAACCTGATCATCGTAGTTCAGTGGCGGTCCTCCCGTTCCACAACATACCGTTATCGAATGATCAAAACCTATTACCATACCAAAAAAAAGTTTCAAACACTGTTACATTTACACATATGGCATTCCGGTTCAAATGCCACCACTAACACAAAAAGTAAATAGTGCTTTCTAATTTGAGTGAACTGATTATAAATACGTACCATATTTGGAATGATTCAGGATGAGGTCGGATTTGATAGAGAAGATATCTACGTATGTGAAACGGGAATCGGGATATTGTTGAGGGAGTTTTTTGAAAAGACCATGAAGCTGCAAATTGAAAAGCTTAGCAGCTTGGTTATGGTCACTGACACAACCAAACTCATCAAGCTTTGATTTGTCTTTCCCAAATAATGACACAACTTGTGCTAAACACCCAAGTGGTCCTGTGTTGTGTATCCAATAGTTTCTTGCCCCTTCTGCATATAATCTCTAGATCAAGAATTACACAATGAATTAAATTAATAATAATATGATGATATTTTTGACTCAAATCAAATTCAAATATTTCCCCAAAAAATGAGTATCCATGTAACAATTAAGTGTCATTTATCGTTTTATTTAAGATGGCGTTGTATTCAAACTCTATTAAAAAAAGAGAGAGGATTTTAAGATTCATGTAAATAACTAAATACTAACCTTTATTCCATCTTGAAATATATCTAAGATTGTAGGAACCAGAGCTAGAACTTCATCTAATGTCTTGGAGTAAAATGCTCCGGCAATATCATTTTGTCCGATATCAAACATATATAATCCTTTTTTGAAATAATATTCGGACGGTAAGTATCTTCCGAGCTCTTCATCTTATAAACAAAAGAGAAAGAAAAAAAAGTACATTGGTCCGTTACTAAATGATTCAACTAAGTCTAAAATGTTGATGAACTTTTGGTATCATTTGATATTTAGTTACCTTGTTGTATCAATTGAAGGACTTTGGACTTAAAGGTGATGAATTGAGAAACTTGAACACCAAAACCAAAGGGACTATAGGATGCAGCATTCGCCTTCTGAATCGTTGACGCAGCCGCCGCAAAATTGCAGCCTCTCCGATAACTTTGTCGACTTATCGAATCTAAATAAGGCCTCAAATAGGGCCGATCAATTGCTTCCACTACAAAACATAAAGCCCATTCAAAAACTTCTCATGTTAAGAGCAACCTCAATGGAGGTTTCTTACAAGATACCTTAACATTAAAATATTTAAAAAAATTGAAAAAGAAGAGAGAGAACAAGAAACATACCTTATATAAGGAATGTTTCTAAACATTTTAGAAACCTTTTGTACATTTGTCTTCTTTTTAGTGGTCTATTTATTTTTATATTAAAATATTAATATTTAAAATATAAGAAACTCAAAACTTATTTCTAACCATTGTGGTTGCTCTAAGAGTCTTAGAGCATGTTTACTCATGAACCAAAATGAGTATCATTAACAGTTTTTTATTATTGTTTCATGAGTTGAAACCCAAAATGAGTATCAATAGACTCACTCCAATGATACTTTTCATTCAAATATCAACCTAAAATATATATTTTTTATTATTATTCATGGGATGATACCCACAAAAGAATCATGAGTAAACATGCTCTTATGGTTCATAAGAATCCTTAATACCTACAATGTAAACTACATGAGCGTGATAACCGCGTTATATCAAGATCAATCAAAACATCTTGCAAGTTGCAACTTTTTTAAAGTCATGTTTTTAAGTCGACTAGTTTGTTTGTAGGTCATGCAAGTGCAACAACGCTTCCAGTAAAAACAGGAAACCATGACAATTTGTCAATTTTGCCGTGGTACAAAATAAAATAATAATATTAAAAAAAAAAATAAAAATAAAATGATAGATTTTAAAGAATAAAGGATTTAGAAATGATGAATGATTACTTAGAAAATCGACGATAAGACGTCCATTGCAGAATCTTCCGGAAGTTGGAGATCTGAAGTAGGTTTTTTCATAGGAAGGTTGGGGAAGAAATCCAAGACCGGAGCTAAGTTCTCCGGTGTCGGAGTTAGAGTCTCCGAAGTTGAAAACCGCCGGGAAAATATTAGAAATCGGGAAAGAACCGGCGAGAGGAGGCAGAGTTTGAGAGATGGCTACGAATAGTAATAATGTAAGAAGAGTGTGGAAAAGAGTTTCCATGGCTCAAACAATGTATTTTGAGTCTTATCATTCTTACATACTGTATACATTATATATTATGATTTTAACAAATATAAAAGAAAAGAAAAGAAAAATATACATCCTTATGTGGATACAAATATATGCGTGTATACATAATGTTATGAAAGTGGAATGTGAGTTTGCTTGGAAATATGGATAGAAACAAAATGATGAAGTCCTTCCTCTCGTGACATTTTTTTTGGTTTTATATACGGAAATCACATCAATTTCTTAGGGTTTATCAAAAAAAAAATCACATCAATTTCAATATTGTGTCGACTATACGTCTATACGATATCCGAAGATAAAAAGCTCAATAATAATTTTTTTTTTATTTTTTATAATTGCATATTTTTTAGGTGAGGCCCACTAAGCCTGATAGGCCCAAATATTCCTTTCTAGGCTCTACTAAAAAAATAATGGAACTAAGAATCTCGCCGGAGTTCTAGCTTCGCCGTGTCGTGTCCAAATCTATCGTCGGGCTCTCAAAGCCAACGTAACTATGAGGAAACCACGAATGGCAAAGATGGTGAATTCCGGTCATCTAACCACGATTCGCTATATTATTAAATTGATATTTCTTACATTATTTTTAAGGTTTCTTATTTTGATGTAAGTTATTACTTATTAGTATTTTATATTATTAGGTAACACAAAGTTGGCATCTTTTTTTGTTTACTAAATTCCAAGCAAAGCAGAGAAAAAGAATTGATATGCGTGCAAGTTTCTGTCCAAATTCTTGTCCTCTTTCTTTTTTTGGAGGTGTGCATGTGGTGCACACTTCACACTTCACAAGTCGCAACACTTTACTTAGAGACCAGAGATTAGAGTTTTGATCACAGTCGTCAATGGCAGAACCGGAGGTGATTCACTCATGGTCTGCACCAAGATCTCTCAGCACCAGCCTCATGTACTCCTTTGCTCAGGTACCCTACCAAACTTGTTCCTATCTTCTTGACAAATTTTCCAGGAATTATGAGTGTTAGCTCTAAAGATTATGATCATCCAAAACCAAATCTCAATTCTGATTTGCTTGTTTTGTGTCTTCTGAGAAAATTGAGTATGAGTTTTAGAGATTTTGATTTATCTAATAAATAACTTGGAAAAAACATGAGATCTCTAGAAAGAATCACTGTGGAAATTCGTTGGTGTTCTTTTCTAATTGTTGTTGTGTCCATGTTTCAGAGAGATGACACTGAAGTTGTCGACGAGCCGTTGTATGCAGCATTTCTTAAAGCTACAGGTGTTGATAGGCCATACAGAGACGAGGTTCTCTCCAAGATGGTATGTCTCTCTCTATGTAGTAACTGATTAGGATTTTATTTCTTAGTCTTTCTTTGAGTAAACAAGTTTTATTTCCCGTCTTGTAATTTAAATAGGAGTGCAGTGGAGATAAAGTTGTGAAAGATGTCATATATGGATCTGGATCGAAGAAGTACCGGTATTGTAAGGTAAAAAGGTCTCTGATTGTTTGTTTTTGAAGCTTCAAAGTTCATATTGTCAAACTTTCTTCTTGTCTCTTTCTCTAAAAGATAGTAAGTTGTTCTGTTTTTCCCTCTGAACAGCATATCTCGAAGCAGCGGCTTTTCGGTTTGTCAAGTGAACTGATGAGAAAAGGAAAGCATTTCATATTGATACGAAATCCTCTTAACATACTGGTTAGCTTTCGCATCAAACGCCAGTTCTCTGCAGCTTTTTAGCCAATGTTTCATCTAATGTTCTTCTCTGTTTATCTTTTTTGCAGCCTTCCTTTGAGAAAGTACACCCTCCATCGTTTCTCGAATTAGGCTTGGGGGAATTAGTGTCGATATACAGTGATCTCTGTCAGATGGGAACACCACCAGCAGTCATCGATGCGGATGAGCTTCAGCGAGATCCCGAGGTTTTGTTTCTGTAATACGTAAAAGTTTCACAAAGATGTCTTTTTCTCTTACATGTTATGCTATCCATATATACACACAGACAACACTACGCGGTCTTTGTGATGATTTGGAGATTCCATTTCAAGCCTCTATGCTTAAGTACGGTCCTCTCCTATCATACTCTTATAGTTTGATAGATATCAAAACATTAAATTTCACTTTGGTTTGTTATGTTTTCTTGAAGATGGAAGGCTGGTCCTATACCAGAAGATGGAGTATGGGCACCATGGTGGTACAAGAGTGTGCACGAATCAACGGGTTTCTCATCTCCAAAGAAGTATCCTCGGGTAAGGCCTTATTTGTTGTGGTTAATGGTTCTGAAATCAATCTAAGATGTGTTTAATATTGTTATTTTTCCTTCAGACATTCCCTTTGTCGCACTACGATTTGCTGGAGCAAAGTCTACCGCTTTACAACATTCTCAGGAGCCACGTGAAGCACAGCTCCTCCCTCTTGAGTAGTCCCTTGCCTGCTCCTAGTCTCCCAGTTCCTGAAAACGCAAAACTTCTTGCATGGGTCGGTGACGAGATTTTGCCTCGTGAGATGGCAAAGGTGTGCTTGAAATGTGGAAGAAAACTTGACAACTCACTGTTTGTTGATTTGCATTTTGGAACACTGATTATGTTCTATTTCTTCTTATTCTTGTTAAGGTTTCTGTTTTTGACTCGGTTGTACAAGGCGGTGACTCGGTATGGGAAGGACTTCGGATTTACAAGGGAAAGATATTTAAGCTTGAAGAACATCTAGATCGGTAAGAACAGTCATATCCAGAAACCAAGAAGCAAATAACAGAGTTTTCTAAGCAATCTTGTTTTATATGTTGGAATCTTGGATTAGGTTGTTTGATTCAGCAAAGGCTCTGGCTTTCGAAAATGTTCCAGCGCGTGAAGAGGTAAGCATCTGATGATTGTAGTGCTAAGTTTTGTTATTTCAAAACGATGTTACCACGATAGCTTAGTTGTGGCAAAACATGCAGATAAAAGAAGCAATCTTCAAAACTCTCATAACCAATGGTATGTTTGACAATACACATATCAGGCTGTCTCTAACTCGAGGCAAAAAGGTATTTCAAGTTTCTTTGAAACCGATTTAAGAAACTTCTGTTTTCATTTCGACCATTTAGAGTAAAGAAAACTGTGCAACTTCTTTCTTTAAGGTAACTTCTGGAATGAGCCCTGCATTTAATCGATATGGATGTACTTTAATCGGTAACCTTTCAGCTTTATCTTAACAACTCATTGTGCGAAAATGATTACTCTGGAGTTCAATTCTTTCATATAATGCAGTGCTTGCGGAATGGAAGCCTCCGGTGTATGACAATGATGGTGGAATTGTGCTGGTGACCGCAACCACACGCCGCAACTCGCCTAATGTATGAATTTGGTTCCACGTTTCTGTTCATGATATAACATAAATAAAATAAAATAAAAACTTGTTTGTAAAATATTGTTGATTTCTGAAATTCTTTTTGGTTTGTCAGAATTTGGATTCCAAGATTCATCACAACAACCTTCTCAATAACATACTAGCAAAGGTACTGTCTTCAAAACAAGAAAGTTCAAGAATTGACGCTGTGAGATTAATTTTTCTTTGCAATGGAACAATCAGATTGAAAGTAACAACACGAATGCCGCTGATGCCATTATGCTTGACAAGGATGGTTATGTGTCTGAAACCAATGCAACCAACATTGTAAGTAATCCTTTGATGATTCCTCAGCATGCTTTTCTATCAAATTTCAGTAGATTTTTAAGAGACTATAGAAAGCTAATATTGTCAACAAAAATTTACTTTGTTCTACAGTTCATGGTGAAGAAAGGCTGTGTACTTACTCCTCACGCAGATTACTGTCTCCCTGGCATAACCAGAGCTACCGTAAGAGAGAGACATTCACTTTCGTTTTGTTAAGAATTTTATATAAACCATTCTTTTCTATTATCTTCCTTTCAAGGTCATGGAACTTGTGGTGAAAGAGAACTTCATCTTAGAAGAAAGAAGAATCAGTCTCTCCGAATTCCATACAGCCGATGAGGTTCTTTCAGCTTACAAATTATCAGTTTTTGGGGGTCAAATTGAATTATATGTGCCTCTCTCTCTTTCTCTAGATAATCTAACAATGGTTTTGTTTTTTCAGGTATGGACAACTGGAACTATGGGGGAACTAAGCCCGGTATGTACAGTCTCTAGTAGCTTACGAATAAAACATGCTCAATCGTTCTGCACCTGAATCTATGACATTCATTAATTAAAACTTTGAATAGATGCAAGTCATATCTAAAGTTCTTGATGAAATCTTCAGGGGATCTTACTTGAACCATATGAAAAAATATCCTGTTCTTTTGTTACAGGTTGTGAAAATCGATGGACGTGTGATTGGTGACGGCAAAGTTGGACCGGTAACGAGAACACTGCAAAACGCTTACAAGAAACTGACAGAGGATTCAGGTGTGCCAATACCTACTTACCAAGAACCCTGAAATACAAAACAAGAGGTAATCAAAGTTGCTGAATAGTCGTCTATCTGAGATAGTATATCAAAAATTTTGGTTATGATTTAATAATAGCTTAGCAAATGCAAGAGTAGATTAAAAACCATTTTAACTTTCACATGATTCAAGTGGGTCTTTATACCGTTTATTTAGGTTTTGAAACAGAGCCACGAGGGAACTTAATAATAAAAAGCAATCAACTCTCACATGATTCAATTGGTTTTGAGGAAAAAACATGAAGCTTTTGCGTCATCTTAATTAATAGATTTCCTTTCATGTAAGTAAAGAAGCTTTCTTTCTTTTTTCAGGGGATGCCAATGTTGTAGCCTTCTTATAGTCGTTTCTTCTTATCTTGGTACCAAAACGGCGAGTAGTTTATACGTGGCAATGTAAAACTGTGTGTAGTCAAGCTTGTCGAGTAGACTTAAATCAAAGTCAGCATTTGCTTGTTTGACCCAACGTGAGAAGTATGACCATAATAAATAAAGCCACCACTCGAGCGTTGATTCTTTTCCTTTTCTAGAAAATTCAATTTTTCTTTAAGTTAATTGCTGGAAGGAATCAAATTAAAATATAGTCAAGACTATTATAGATCTTTGTTTTATTGTTTTAAACATACTTTCCCAATTTATTGAATAATATATGTTCCATTCATGGTTGACAAAATGCCAGAAAGATGAGAACTAGTGAACATTCATACTTTGGAGTTCCATATCTATAATTTATGTCATATAAATCTGTTTATGTCATATAAATCTGTGGAGTCATGAATATTTATAAATTATAATAGATTTTACAATGTATTTTGAAGATTACTTATATTTATTGAGGTGATATGCGATAGAATTCTGATAGCGTTTCGGTTGCCGCCGGCGGCAGTTATCCTCCTTGATTATTTAACTCAGGGTCAGAGCCCAGAATGGTCCAACGTTCGCTAAAGTGTTTGTTTAATGGGATCAGAATCATATTTATAAAAAACATTCCAATTACTTTATTTTATTTTAGTTGTTTGTCATCAATTATTTTCGTTTTTTAAGATATAATCATATATAAAAGCCTCATGACTAAAAGGAAACGATTTTTCAAAGGCATAACTTCCTTTCTTTTCTTTTTTTTTTTTTGGTTTTAATGTTAAGATTCAAAGGCATAACTTGCTAATGGCCTAAAAATTTTCGTTTTATTTCTGTTAATTGGGGAACCCGATTCTCTATGAGTATTGTCGTCTCTTTGAGTTTCTTTTACTTGAGTGGCAAGTAGATTTCTGATCTTTCTTTAGTGACTTTTCTTTATCACAAGATATATATTTTTTTTTTGAGCAAAGTATCACAAGATATTATGTTGATAAAAAGGAGTATTTTCTTGTAGTAAGGAAACGGGCATCTATATAATTTATGAAAGAAAGTCCTCTGGAAAACCGTTGAAAATTTAACCCAAAACAAAAAAAGAAAAGTCCTTTCTGGATAGCATAGTTTTTGACCCAAGAAAACGTTTTAATCTATATTTCGAAACCATCTTTTACACGAACAAAAAAGCTTGTCCCAAATGTTATCTAAACATCTCGTTAAAACAAAAAAAAAAATTGTTTTGAATGTATTAAAGAATTAAGATGGTTTTAAAAGTGTGATGTTGTTACGCATGAAAATGGATGATTTATGTATTTATAATTATTTTCAAATGTTTTCCTGAGCCTACTGAAAAGTTTAAATGTTTAAAGAAAACTAAAAGAAAGCAATGGAGAGATTACAAACTTTTATATTCGACATAATTTACCAATTAGGCAACGACTTTCATTCATTTCACAAATTTGAGGAAACTATACAAAATTAGCCATCGGATTAAAATGGAAAATAACAAGCCGAAAAGCTGCTATTCTCAGAAATAACAAATATACTTGAATGTAATAAAAATTGTTAGGGATGTTTCATAAAAATAAAAACCAAACTAATTAAAATTCGAAACCAACCAAAAGAGAAAATTTTGCATATTCAACGTAAATGACAAATTGTGAAAAGAAATTTCCATATTTACTGATTGGAGAAACCTTCCTCTTGCCACGTGGAACTTAAGTCTGACACAAGTGCTGACATCACTACCCCATCTCTTCTTCTGAATCTTCAAATGTCTTTTTTAGTACGCTATAAACTCACTTTCTTCTTCTCCAAGAGCCAAAAAAAAAATTCGGAAACCACCAAAAAAAAAAAAACATGAGAAGCTCCGATCATACGCCGTTTTCCGGCGTTTTGCCGATTGTTTTCTTACTTATATTATCATCAGCGGATCTAGCGGCGAGTCAATCACAGCCCGGTCCAGCAAATCAACCGTATAACTACGGCAGGCTAAGTCCAGCCATGGCAGTGATCGTCGTGATCCTAATCGCTGCTCTCTTCTTCATGGGCTTCTTCTCCATCTACTTCCGTCACTGCTCCGGCGTACCAGACGCCGGCGTTTCTCCAGCTGGTGGAGCTAGATCCAGAGCAACCGTCAACGCGGCGGCGCGTGGTCTCGACGCTTCAGTTGTCGAGACTTTTCCTACGTTCTTGTACTCTGATGTGAAAACGCAGAAGCTTGGCAAAGGAGAGCTAGAGTGTGCGATTTGTTTGAACGAGTTCGAAGACGACGAAACGCTGCGTTTGCTTCCCAAGTGTGATCACGTGTTTCACCCTCACTGCATCGATGCTTGGCTCGAGGCTCACGTGACTTGTCCTGTTTGCAGAGCGAATCTTGCTGAACAGGTTGCTGAAGGTGAATCGGTTGAACCGGGAGGAACTGAACCAGATCTTGAATTGCAGCAGGTTGTGGTGAATCCTGAACCTGTGGTTACTGCTCCGGTACCGGAACAAGTGGTGACGAGTGAAGTCGATTCGAGGAGATTACCTGGAGTACCGGTTGATTTAAAACGAGTCAAATTCTCGAGATCGCATACGACGGGACATTCGGTGGTTCAACCGGGAGAATGTACCGAGCGGTTTACTCTTCGGTTACCGGAAGATGTAAGGAAGAGGATAATGAGGGAATGGAAATTGAACCGGACGAATAGTCTTCTGGTTCTTCCTAGGGGAGGGAGTTCAAGGAGAGGTAAACCGATTGACCGGTCAAGGGCTCGGTCTGATCGATGGTTGTTTCGTAAAACGCCTTCGTTTCTTTGGAGGAGTCGTGATGATGGTTCGATTAGGTTAGGTGCTACCGGTAGCGTTCGAGCCAACGCTGTACCGAATTCAACCGGTGGTGATTCGGTACGTGCAGGAGACCGGTGGGCTTTTCTTAGAAACGCGTCGTTTTTGTGGAGGAACTCTTCGGTACATGTGCCAAGAGGAGGAGTCAATAAAGACGGCGAAGGAACTTCGGTTAAATCGACCGGTGCTAGTGGCTCAACTAGCGGTTCGATGAGATTACCGGTTTAGTTGACTTATCTTTTAGCCGTATAACTACTCTTTTTTTTTTTCTCACATATTTTTCGTTTTTATGTTTGGGATTGTCGATATACAAGCAATACATTTTCCTCAATTTTTTTCTTTTTAATTATTCTTGTATTGTTTAAAATTTCTGTAACGTACATATAAAGTCAGATCCGAAAATGAGATTTACTTTTGAAAAACAATGTATAAAAAAACTTATAAAAAACGGACAATGATGAGGTGAGCCTGGTGAGGTGTGGTGTGGTGTGGTGCAGGTGGGTTTCTCGTTTCTTCAATATAAAAAGTTTTATTCGTGGACAAAGAATATATATATATTTTTTTTTGTCATCTGATTTTTATTAAAACTTTAAGATAGGATATAAGGTGAAATACTTAAGCCGGTGGAAAACAAAGATATCCTCAGAATCTAAAGCCCAAAAGAGAGAAGCTAAGCCGGCGGACAAAAAAAAAGTCCCCGGAGACAAAGTCGGAGAAAAAAAAGAATTCCCCCAAATCTAAGTCTACGCTAAAAACAACATAAACTTTTAAAGCCGAAATCGAAAGAGAACGAAACCAAAAACTAAGAAAAGAGGCAAACTAAAAATAAACAAGAAGATAAACACTAAGTCAAAATAACCAAATCGATCTTCTTCTTCTGAAGTTTCTGCGAATGAGCTATATCAATGCTGCCCAACCATTAATCACAACTGCTTCCTCCTATCACAATGAGAGAAGATCTCTCGAAACCAAGTAACAATGACTTCATAATCTGACAAGTAAAGGTCCAAATAGATCCTCATTAAACACTTTCAGATGCGGCTGCGACGAGGGTGCGTCAAGGAACACCTTGATAGAAGTCAAAAAGATGCAATCCGACATCCTCCAGATTTGGAAACGCAGAGACAAGGAGCGAAACATAACCACCTCGATGAGCTTCGAAATCAAGAACAAAAACGACACTCATCTACAACGGAAATCATCACCAGTAACTTCCACCTAAGAGAAGAAAGATCTGAAGCCAAACGACACTAGCATAAACTTCACACAACAAGGGCCTCATCTTAGAAAGGAGACGAACCAAACGAGCAACTATTAGCTAAACCAGGCAATAAGGGTGAGCGGAGAGGCTAAGGCAAGATGAAAGCTAACTACAGAGCTCACACAAGCCAAGCACGCGACATCAAAACACCAAGAAGCACAAGAGCGAGTAACAGATCTGGATTTGGGGAAGGCGAAAAGCAATGGCTTTATTACATACCCGTCACCGTCGATCTCAGATCCGGCTCCATCATCTTCGCAAGAGCCCTGAACCACAAATCTGAAACACTCAAACTGCTTCCGACAAACACCCAAAATCACAAACCGATCAAACTAAATCGAAACCCCAATCGAAGGCCACAAGATTCTTAAAATTAACACAAAACTAAAACCAAGAAAGGAAAGAACAAAAGGAGGACCAAAGCCGGTGCTAGAGGAGCCACCGTACTCCGGTCACCGATCTGGGCAAACTTGTAAACTTGAGAGAGCGGCGGCTAGGTCTAGTCCCGAGAGAGAGAGGTGAATTCGTGGACAAAGAATATAGAATATAGTTTTGTTTTCTCGCTTTGAATATAGAATATAGTATAGCTCTCTTAATTTATAGTACAAAAATAATACTTTTTTAAGGAAAATCAGTTCAATAATGTGTTTGGTTTAAAACCAGAGTTTTACTTCATAGTTTATACACAAGATTACATGAAGAAACACTACTACGCTTTAAAGAAAGAAATCTATTTATCAGAAACGTTTTGAGAAAAAATCTTTAGTCAAAGTACAATTTAGAATTATTGCATTTTCCAAAGGAAACAATATATTATTATAGATAACTTCCTGCAAATTTGGTTATATATGAAAATTATTGACCCCCACTTGGTTTCCAGTCAGGTCACGGATCTCATCGTGTTTGAAATATCATTAGTCAATTTCCATCCAGAAGGATTAGCCCTTATAATAAATATAGTTAATGTATAATGCTGTGTTTCACATGAAATCTATGCATATATTTGGCCCCATTATTAACATTAATTTTTTTTTTTTTCTTTTTTGGTCATTATTAGCATTAATAGTATTCTTTAGAGTTTAGACAAATTAAAAGGAGGCTGTGGCCTGTGAAGTGTGCAAACATACTGTTTGTAATATGTTTTGTCGTCTATAATAAAAAAAAAATCTAAAGACACGTAACACGTTATATCAAATTTACATAACTATTGGGCTTTGAGCTTGAATAATTAAGGCCCAAGAAAGCCTTTGTTCTTCCCGTGGGAAGTTGAGAACGAGAAAAAAGAGTCCGGGAAAAGAAAAGGGAAGAGTTTTTCAGAGAGATTTGATCACTCATGGCGAACGAAGACGACGACGGTGAGAAATCCAGAAGTCTTCACCAACAGATTGCTAAAAAACCCAAAACCCAGATCATAATTGGTGTGCCATCGTACCAGGAAGTTATAGAAAGCTCACAGACGAAGTCCACGCCTCCATCTCTCTTCAAGCCTTCCCAGAGTTTCTCTCAGGCATTCGCTTTCGTCAAATCGTCCGACGTCTACTCTCCTCCTCCGTCTTCCTCCGCCGCCTCTTCTTCTTCGCAGCCGCCGGGCGCTTCTCAGGTGCCCAATTCAAGGTGTTATATATTTATAATTAGATATATCTGTTGATTTCGTGATTTTTCACATTTTAGATTAGTTTGACGAAATCAATGCTGCAATTCCCAACATTTTTACTGAATCATATATTTTTGGAGAATGAGGTTGAAAAGTGGAAAACTTTAACTGTTTATTACTTCATCTTCTTATGACAACAATCAGATTCAGTTTTGTGGCTGATTTTGATGATTGCATTGTTTCTTCCGTACTTATATATCCATTTTGTTGTTGGTGTATGTTGCTTTTGTTTTAGCCAACCGCTTCAAACCGATGGTGCCTCATCTTCTTCTACTCCTGTAGCTACTGGCTCTTTACCGTCAAACACAACTCAAACTCGTAACGCAATCCTCGTTAGCCATAGACAGGTCAGGAGACTAAAACCTCCATGGTTCAGTTTCCATGTTCTTTGGGATTCATCTGATTTCTCGTTGCGGCTCACATTGATTGCAGAAAGGAAACCCGCTTCTTAAACATATCAGGAATGTGAAATGGGTTTTCTCAGATATCATTCCAGATTACGTGCTTGGTCAAAGCTCTTGCGCTTTGTATTTAAGGTGAAACTCTGCAACTTTCATTTTCCACCTATGTGTTTAAATTTTCACATTAGAAACATCTGATTCACTACAGCTTGCGGTATCATCTGCTACATCCGGATTACCTCTATTTCCGCATTAGGGAACTACAAAAGAATTTCAAGCTAAGTGTTGTTCTTTGCCATGTCGACGTGGTAAGTCTTAAAATCATATTTTGATGCTAAATATCAAATGAAATTTCTAAATTATATGCTGTAACATTGCATCTAGTGTTTTTTTATTTTATGTCTTATGATACTTATGCACAGGAAGATACGGTGAAACCGTTGCTTGAAGTCACGAAAACCGCTCTACTTCATGATTGCACTCTATTGTGCGCCTGGAGGTGTCTATCTATATATCAATCAAGTTATTTTGCAGCTCATATGAAAACACATTTCAAGCACTCTGCTTCTCGTTGATACAACTTTCTGTGTGAATTCTCTTGCAGCATGACGGAATGTGCCCGTTATTTGGAAACAATAAAAGTCTATGAAAACAAACCCGCAGATCTCATCCAAGGCCAAATGGATACAGATTATCTATCACGGGTATGGAAACTCTTTAGCCTTCTCTATTGATTTTTTTTTTTTGGTCATTTTTGTGAATTCTCACTTTGTTTATGATTGCAGCTAAACCATTCTCTTACAAGCATTCGACATGTAAACAAGAGCGATGTAGTTACACTTGGTTCTACATTCGGGGTTGAGCTAAAAAGACCTTATTTCCCGTTATTGTGAATTTATGTTTTCTATGATTCAAACTAATATTGGAAACCTCAAAAATCATGTTTTATGCAGTCTCTTGCCCATATAATTGATGCATCCATGGAAGATTTAGCACGTTGTCCAGGGATTGGCGAACGTAAGGTACATGATCCTCTGTCTATAGTCCGAAAACTCAATAATAGAGGTCTGAGAATCACTGTAAAACCTCAGGTTAGGCGGTTGTATGATACATTCCACGAGCCTTTCAAGCGTGCAACTTCAAGCTACCCGTCTGTTGTAGAACCAACAATCCCAGAAGCTCCAGTTCAGAAGAATGTGAGCTCAAAGGAACCTGTTGTAGAAGATGAGGATTTTGTGGAGGACTCTAGAAAACGCAAGAAGAAAGAGCCCGAGAAAACTGTGAAGACCGCGCTCTCAGCTGTTTTTGCTCGTTACTCTGATAAACTTAGCAAGAAAAAAGAGAAGCAAAAGGAGAAAGATGCAACAACCGAGTCAGATGCTGAAATCCACCAAGATTAACACAGTTCTGTTCATTGGGCAAGGCCATGGTGACCACATTCCTAAATTGTAACTTAGCTTTACTGTGTCTAATTTGTGTGATCTCTATCATAGAATTTGGTTGATTATTGTTAGCTTTTTTCCTTGGTTTGGGCCATTTTCAATAATTTTATGAATAAACAAAAAAATAGGCCTGGGAAGGCAAAATCTAGCTAGAAGCTTGAGATGGTTAGCCTAAGTCCATGGTCTAAAAAATTTGTTCGCATTGGATCTTAAATTTTTAAACGTTGATGATTTTTATTTAACATTTTTAGATATGGAACTATACTCATGAATTAAGTTGAAATATGTGGCAATCAAAGAAGACGCGCTAATTTTATTGGTTTGGTTTTGAGTTTAGTAGATTTAATTCTATTTTATTAGGTTTGATGAACAAGAATTAGGTTTGTTTGGTTTGGTTTGGTTTAGTTTGGTTTGCTTTGTGTAGAGTGCGCGTTTAATGCAATTCGACCGTTTAGCAGCTTTTTGCAAATTAGATATTTTTTTAGATTTGTAGTTTTTGTTGACATGTTTCAAACGCGTTAGTCAATGTCTTGTCCAACATAGACAACAAACACTTGAACTTTGTGCACCACTCTATGCATTATTATCAACTAATAGTATATACTTTATTTTCTTTTCTTTTTATAAGGTGCACAAAAAAAAAAAAAAAAACTTTCGGTGTGAATGGTTTTAAATTGCAATCGACAAAAAAAAGTAAAGTTGCAAAGGACTGGTAAAAGAAAAGTGCAGAGAATATTTCAAGTGTAAGTGAATCGGTCATGAGAGACATGGGTAAACAAGTAAATAAATAACCTGATAAAGTAAAAGCTTAATTTTTCGTACAATAGTTCTGATCAACCAAAGAGATTGCCGGTCCATTCGTTCAGTATTGTTGATATCTGATCAAGAATAACATTTTACAATTTTGATAAAGAAAAGTGAAGAGTAATTATTTCCTTTGCTATTATGATTTTTTTTTTTTTCGCCTCTTTTGCTATTATGATTACCTAGAGGACTTGTTACTCTTTTGTAACACACCAACCCTTCCTTATTCCTTAATATGAATGTGCATTAAAAATTTAAAATATACTGTATGTATTATGTGTATATGTTTAATGAAAGTAAATAAAGAGACTGAGGATGTTGGAACATGAAGGGGACAAAAGTGAAAGTCTATGATGGAGGAAAAAAGAGATCAATAATAATATTTTAAAATCAGGAAATTATTATAAACACAGTAATATACATGAATGTGTGTGTATGTAAACAATGTATGTGCAGTTTTTGGAATCTGACTTCCCTCTTTTTTCGGACGAAAGCAGATGTTTCATTCTGCTTCATGTCTTAGCAAGCCCAATAAAGTATTTTTCTTCTCTTTTTCTTTTCTTGATCCTTGGGATTTGCTCTCTTTACACTTTTTTTTTTCGGTTTTGCCCCAATACTCTTCTTGTCTTATGGATTTTACCCTGTAAAAACTATGAAAACATTCGTGATTCTAAAACCGTTAGACCAGAACGACGTTATGGACCTTATGGTACAAGAAACAAAATCGCAGTTTGTTTTTGGTTAATAAAACTTGATGAAACTCGAGACTTTGGTTTCTGTGTTATACAGAGATTGTTTCAACGTCCATATAGGTTTTTTTTGAAAAAAATTATGATTTAATCCAAAAATTAAATTTTAAAAAAACTAAATGAAGCAATATATTCATATTAAAAATAATAAAAAGAATTAAACAAAATAAGTATTTCTCATCACCTAACTTTCATGCTATTGCTCGATGATAGTCGTTACCAACCAATTGTATGTCTTTAACTCTTTTAGGTGAGAATATTGAATACAAATTGCAAGATTTTTATGTTTGTCGCTTATAAAAGTGTTTATGAATCATTTAGATAGTGGTTAAGTTCATGTGAATTTTCTCAAATAAAATAGAAACTACAAAACCCTAATCAAGATTAAAAACCAAAATGATAAGACATAAAATAACATGAACCACAAAAATCACCATCTTATCATCAACATTCAACACGAATGAGTCATTTGAAATAAAGATATTTTAGTGATTTGTCACTTAGGGTAGGTGTCCTTGCAAGTGAGGAGGGTATATATGTCTTTTGCACATATATGTACACTCATATACATTCAAAAGTTGATGCATTTGTACCTAACCAAACAATACAATGCTCTCTTTAATAATATATATATATATATATATATATATATATATATATATATATATACATTGATAGATACCATAGAAGTGTCATAATTTATGTACTCTAAAGTTTGTGACCCAATTTTGGATATGCAGTCCAAAGCCTCCAGCTGTGGGCATCCTTACCATCCTTACAATACTACATTTTCGTCTCCCTCTCACTTTCTTTTGTTTTTTTTTTACCATAGTTGTTAATTGTAGATATAAACAATAGTGAAAGTAGCAAATTTAAAATCGCCTATTATTAAAAAAATATATATATCTTTGTACACGAATTGAGTTTGTTTGCAGTGAAAATCAAACATGTTCCTGAACTTAGATGGATCTACGCGACTACGCCTTTCACAGATTCCATGTTAATTACCATTGCATGCGCGTTAATCATCTTATTATACCATCTAAAGTTATGTTGATTCCAAAAGACTAATCATGGAATAAGATATTGAACCAAAAGCTAGTGAAATTCATCTAGCTAGGATTACGTATGTGTTAGAAATGTGTAGACTTAAATCACCTTCGGTATTAATTAAGCCCCATAATATGAATCAAAAAGGTATGTTCAACTTTATTGTGTGTTTTCACATTATCATGATTTATCAGAAATTCGGATTCATCAAATATAAATATCTTTAGTCTTTGTCAAATGATCAGTAATTCAAATATGGTGTCAATCTCTATATTTGCAGGGGAGTGATCTTTTAATTTCAGTCATCTATTTGTATATAATAAAAAATTGTGACGAGTATATTATGATTTAACTTTTTTTTTCTTATGAAATAGAACTTATAAAAACGTGAGACCAAAATGTTCAATATATACATGTGTTTCATGTCTGCAATTCGATATAGTTTCATTGCAAAACTTACTTCTGAGAGATACTTTCAAAAGATGAAGTCAAAGGTGTTGAAAAATTTGCTTTTTATGATTTGTTTTGAAACTTCGACTACTAACAAACTTCGTCTGTATTCCCACACGTATCTCCCCATTCGTCATTTGACCTTCAAAATCAAACCTAACACGTGATACATTTAGCTCTTGTGTTTATTCATTTTTTGTTGGTTAGTATACAAATCCCTATTTTTCATGAGAATATATATAATCATATTATATCAATTAGACAATTACCCTTGTTTATTAGGAAAAAAGTATGTACCAACAGGTTATGGCCAGTTAATCTTCTTTTGTAAGAAATTAAAATTAACTAAATATTAAACCGTTGAATAACATATTCTGTTCACCATCATAAGTCATAACTTTATAACTGAATATGATCGTGATTTAAAACAATTGATACTTACTTCAAAATATTTTGCTACTCTACTAGGCTTGCTAATCAAAACCTGCAATATGTGGAAGCATCGTTCGTACCAGAGAAGATAAAAGCTGAGCGCGAGAATCAAACTACTGTCAAATAGTTTAAAGTTAATCTGAAAAACATATATCAGTTTTCTTCTAAATTATTACGGGAAAAAAAAAAAATCAAATTGAAGAACTTTTGGATTTTTGCAATAATAACAAAAACACCCCTAACTTCATATGTTTTTTTTTTGTTAAATAGTTAACTACATATGTTAGTGTTCAAGTTTTAGATTAGCTTAGTTCTGAAATAGCTCTAAACAAAAATGAAATTTACGTGTCAAATTAAGAAAACTGTTTTTTTTTTTTTCTTTTTAAGAAATGTATGTTTCCGTAAGAATTCTAACATTGTAAAAGGTGGGCGATTAAAGTATTTGAGGGAAATTTTTCTGGCTAATTATGTGGACGATTATGGTATCTGAGCACACAGTTTAATAGAATGTTTTTATAGGATTATACTTGACGTAAGCAAAATGGTATGGTATGATCTTCCAAAATGGTATGGTATGATCTTCCAACTCTACATGCATTAACAATAAACATGTAAGTAAGTACTGTACTACTGTACCATCATAATTGATATAAATATATATATATTTATATTATCATAATTGAGATTTGAGCCATAAAGAATCCCAAAACTTGGATATTCCATCACAACATATATGGACTAAATAAAAACTAGCAATCTCAAATTGGTTAACGACTAGACAATTTAGATAACACTTTGTTATAAGATGAACCTATGAGTATATTGCATATTATAAAGACTGATTTAGATTTTTATTTTTAAAATATAGCAATTTTTTTTTAATATAGCAATTCATTTACAATTAACCGGAGGGAATGAAAATTTACTGCACTGGATTTGAATAGAGTAGTAGAGATGAGAACATAGGTTAGGTCCAACGTCTATAAAGCAAACAAAGTTCATAAAACAACAGTTTGATTTGGATACTCATCTTATAATGGTTCCAAAATATTAACAATTTTATTGATTAGTCAAAGGTGTATAGTAGTGGTACTAAAAGCAAATAAAATATCATTTTTATGATAAATTCCATGGAAAACATAAAGGAAAAGTTAAAGCCTAGTTTCTACTTAAAAAAAAAGAAAACTGTAGAAATATTTTAGGGACATAGCTATGATACTTTCAGTTTGAAGATATATGAACCAGAACTAACGTGTGTCATTTTTTTTGTCTTCAATTAGATTTAATTTAAAAGATACATATAGTATAAGCTGAGCTTTTTAAATCTTTTTTTTAAAATCTTTTTAAACGGAGTTTTACGAGGTAAAAAGAACCAACGTTACAATTTTGCTTAACGGATTATAACGTTCTCTTGTAATTTATAACAGCAATGAATTGAAACAATAAGAATAAAATAATTGAATAAAATGACCAAACTGATATGTGACAAAAGAAATTAAACTGACAGCAATGTTCGTCACGAGGTTGGTTTTCTTGATACAAGACGAAAAAACAACAGAGAAAGTTAATAATTTTTATCTAGAAAAAGAAGTCTAAAATACCTCCGAAAATGATTGCTCAAAAACCCTTTCAAACAATTCTATTTTTTATCCCATCTTTTTCTCATATATATATATATATAGCTTTCGTGTTTTAATTTGACTTTTTAGGTCGGAGAAATTTTTTGACTTCAAAGGTTGCATGGACCGACCATGTACACGGTTCGATTAGTCTGTGTAATTTGTAATTCTAGGTCCGTAGAGTATGTGAGATTCGAACTATGAATAGCTTTCTTTTTTACTTAAATCAGTTTGATTTTAGTTGTTTTCCAGATTTGTCCCTTTTCATATAATCTTACCACTGGTCCTACACGTGTATTCTATCTAGCGCTTACTCACTTGTGTGGGGGTTATTTTAATCTTAGTAACTAAACTCAGTCAAAGTCGTACAAAATTTAAAGCTGCACGATGAGAATTAAAATAACAAGCATAATATCATTAGTCTATTAATAGTATTTATTTTCTTATGGACGAAAATAATCGCTTACTATTATCTCACTGAAGTGGTGCACATGCGTCACATGCATTAGCAAGTAAATCGATTTTATCTCTAACATAAAACCCACAAAATATTTCAACTATACAATTAAATAGTTCATTAATAATTGATATATATCGGAACTAATTGGTGGTTGAAAGCTGGCCCAAGATAACTCTCTATCCACAGCAAAGAGTGGAAGCGACCTACCTGTCTTATGACCCATTAAAACCCCATTAACATTATTGTCCCCTTTCCTTCTTATATATTTCGATTAAAACTAAATAATATGTATATATATATATATATATATATTATTTTTTTAACTGGATATTATACGATGTTACAACGTCGAATACAAAGTCGGATAAACTGGAAAACAAAGCCCAAGAGTGATATGGGAAACCAAAGCCCGAGAGTGATACGGGAAGCTAAAGCCCTAGAGTTTTAAGGGAAAACAAAGCCGGCATGAACTACTCATCCGGAGCCATGGAAGATAGGGAAACAACAAGGCAAAACAAGCCTAAAACAAACATGGGAACAAGTCCGAAACTGAACTAAGAAGCAGTCCATAGTAAGCCGGCAATTAACCACAACATCTCGTCAACCACATTACCAAATAAAGAAAGGAAGAGCTTTACAACGAGCCACTCCGTAGGGGATAAGGAACTCCCAACCAAACGGACAGCGGTACCACCTATTACGATGAAGACTACCTCACATAGAAGAGCTCTGAGGAATCCAGACCGGCGAGAAAAGAACTAGGCCAATGACAACTATGTCACACCTACACTCCCGGAAGCGGCGAAATCAAGGATTATGATTGTTAAACGCCTCGAAGGAAACCAACCAAATAACAGATGAGATCTCGATCAGATCTTTAGAGTAGAGACAAGGAGAGAACCAAATCGATCCGGACCACACCGAAGAAGATAAACGGCAAGAGATCGAACCGGACAGAAACTAAAGCAACCACCACATCTGGTAAGAGGCTAAACGAGACGAGAGCTAAAACACAAAAGACCGGATCAAAAGGCGCTACTAGCAACAAAGACGGCAAACCCACAAAAACGACAGAAAGCATCTAAGAACAAATCAAAGACAATAGAAGCACCCTCTCGCAAAGAATGAAGCAGAAGAGATACGAAATACCAAGACAATACAAAAAACAGAGCCATTGATGCTCAGATCCAGCGAGGCATGAACACACCATGAACAGACAAAAGCAGCCCAAGACCTCACCACAACTAGAAACGCCACAAAACCTCACATGCCAACGACAGGTCCACCATCAGATCTCGACCAAAACTCAGCCGAGAACAGAGCCTCAGTGAATCCCGCGTACTGCTCAGACATCAACTTCGCGAGAGGAGCCACCGTCGAAATACTCCACCAACCCTACACATAAACCCAGCAAACTAACCAACAACTATACAAGAGAGCAAGAGAGGCCTTGCTCCGGCGCTGTGGAAGCCACCGGAGCCACCCAACGCGATCTAGATCTGTTTTTAGAGAGAAGGGAGAGGTTTTAGAGAGAGAGGAGATATAGATATATATATATATATATATTTTTTTCTTATAAATTATCATGCATCCCCAATGATAAAAGTTGTTAAAATTCAGTTTTTGGTTTTAGTTTTCAGTTAGTTCTCAGGTTGTGAAACATATAAACCAAAAACTGAATTTGGTTTTATATGTTCTGAGGTATCGGATTTTCATTCAAATACGATTATTTTTGTTGTTGTTCAGTTTTGGTTTTCAAAAGATTTGGTTTGATACTACTAGTAATTTTAATCGAATTATATAATTTTTAATTAATTCAGCTAACCACATTATGTTGACAATCTAACAGTTTATGAGAGACTTTTTAGTATATTGATGGTGTATGTTAAGTCTTATACGTAAGATCTAGATCGCATAATTTAGCATTATAGGAGTCTTTAAATAATGTTTAAACTCAATGCCATGCATTGTTTGCGTAAGTGATGTTGTTAAACATGTCCATTTTGGTGACAAAGACGCTTTCTTGCTTGCGATCGGATCCTAAACCCTCTCGTCAACGATCACTAAAATGATTGATCACAAATCATAATTAAAGTCCTGAAATTTTCATAATACTATCAGTGTCACATAAATTATTATAGTAATTAAGTATGCAAGGAAATGATATATGCTATGACCAATATTACTTTTTAGAGAAAATTCAATGTCTTAAAATTGATAGCGTAAATCAAAATATCTGAAGAATTTACTTAACACGTCTGTCTATTAATACATGGATATAGACATTTTGAGGAAACAAAATAGTATTTGACAAACATAAATTATTGAGCATATTAAAGTTGATTTACATCTAAACCACACATCAGATATACGAAATTAGGAACAACACAGCAAATATAATTCGGAAAAAAACAAAAACAGCTAAGTAATTGTAGTTAAGGAACCTTAAATATTCGAATTAATTGTATTTCGGAAGATGAATACATAACACAGCTAAGTATACAAAGACGAAGCTGAGGCTGTACTGAAAGAAGCTGCCTTTAAGCTTCTTCTTTCCATGAACTCTGTTTCAGAAAAAGAAAAAAGTACGAAAATTTTAAAACATTTTAAAAACAAGAAAAAAGAAAAGAATTAATATTAAAAAAGTGTCAATTTAAAAAAGATATTTTGGAAAATCAAAGTTGGAAGATTTCCTTGCAAGCTGTGCCACCGCCCTCTCTCTCTTAGGTTTTGACAGACATATAATAGAAATAAGAAACCCTGAAACAGAGATAAAACAAAACACAAGTTTTGAGTGTTTTTTTTTTTTTTTTTTTCTAAGTCTCTCTCTTCTCTTCTTTTCTCTCTCTGTCCTTCTTAAACAACAACAACCGCCTTTATTACACAAAACTTTATTACACAAAACTCTCTTATAATCTCTCTCACCATTTCTTCTCTTCTCTTCAGAAGAAAGAAAGAAACTCATAAAGGAGAACAAAAGAGTTTTAGATAGAGAAACTCTTTCTTTCTCTTACTATAGAGCTAGAGTTCTGTCTGTGAAAACACACAAATCTAAGAGAGTTATGAATAAACAAGATGTTATGAAACTTCAGGTATACGTCTCCTTCTCTTCTTCCTCTCTTTCTTCAAGCTTGTGTGTGTGTTTATTTATAATTGAGCTTATGGTTTGGTCGGATTTGTTTTTTTTTTTTTTGCAGACTTGTGTTCTGAAAGTGAACGTACACTGTGAAGGGTGTAAGCATAAAGTGAAGAAACAATTGCAGAAAATCGAAGGTCTCTTCTTGCTTTCTATTGGTCATTTCAAATTGCTGATTTTGTGAAACTAGTTTTAAAACATAAACACAAACGTCTTAAGGTTTATGAAGTGGGGTTTCATCAGAAGCCATGGATCTGTGAATACTGATTTTTTTTAAAACATTATCAGCTCATATATATAGAAAGTTCTGAATTTTATGAACTGTGTTGTGTGTTTCCCCTGTTTTGTGATACTTTCATCTCTTACATCAAAAAGGTTTTACTAGTTTTCCAAAACTATGGAGTTCAAAGTTTTGAGATTTACTATGTGTGTGTCCTCCATTTATGTCAATTTCCCAAAGCTACATCAAGAATTTTTTAATCTGTTTGGAATAATCTGACATAAAAGTTCCTAATTTTAACCATGAAGTCCAAAGTCTTGAATTTTAACACATGACCTGTCCATTCACCAGAAATTACTCAAACTATGTTACTTTCTTGGGAAGACTCTGACATGGGGTTTTACTATCTTATTTTCCTTGATTTCAGGCGTTTACTCTGTAAAAGCAGATGTAGAACAGGGGAGAGTCACTGTTACAGGGAACGTTGACCCAGCTCTTCTGGTTAAGAAACTCAGCAAATCAGGCAAACATGCCGAGATCTTGGGCGGTGGTGGAGGAAAGGGCTTTCCTAATCTGAATGGGCAGTTTGTTGGATAGGACCCTGGAGTAGGTTTACCAACAGGGCATGCACTGCCGTCGTGGTTTCCACCCTTGAGGGCATCTTTTTT